CATCGTAGTATGAAAAAGCCACCAGCAGATTCCTAGTCCCAACGTCAGGACACAGGCTGGGGCAGCTCCGGGTCTGAACAGCTGTCCATCCTCCCACTTTGCCCTTCTGGTCAGCGGGACCATGGTGGGCACGGATCCAGGAGGCTTGCCTACCCTTGGGGGGCTATGGCGGCTGCCACCCTGCCTTGACGGCCAGCTCTGCTCTGCCAGCTCTGGGCAACTCAGAGCTGATCCCCAGCAGCAGCTATTTGGCAGAGGCCTTTGGGGACTGGCGTCAGGTTGGCCTCAAGCCAACCCATCCTTTCCAGGCTCCTTCACTACTTCCGCGGCCGCCACCACCTGGAGGAGATTATGTACAACGAGAACACGCGGCGCTCCCAGCTGCTCATGCTCTTTGACAAGTTCCGCAGCGTGCTGGTGGTGACCACCCACGAGGACCCCGTCATTGCTGTCTTCCAGGCTCTGCTTCCCTGAACTCAGGTGGAGGGTGGGAGGCTGCTGGGGTGTGCAGGTGGGCTCCCTCCCTGCTGAGGCTGACCCTCTTAGCCCTGAGGCCCAGCACTGGGTAGATGCCAGCCCTAGCCTGACTGAAGGCCTACAGAGCCCCACTGTTCTGGCCATGGGCGGTTCAGCTGCGGGGATGCTGCCCTCTGTGCCCCTGCGCTTCCCTCCGGTCCTAGCTGCATGCATAGATAACTCCACGCTGGACGGAGCCTGCCAGGACGCTTGTCCCTAGGTGATGCTACATCCTTTTAGGTCCATGCAGGCTGTTGATTTCTCAGACCCTCCTTCTGTCCCCATACCTGCTCCCTGGAACCCCCCCGTGGCCGCCCTGAAGAATATGCAGAAACACTTGTGTGGCCTGTTCCTATCTGACAGCCTTTCCTTTGTGAAGTGCCCTGTGGCCCCTTCCCCAGCACACTCTCTCTCCACCATGCACTTCTTCCCAGGTTGCCATGAGCCATTCCAGGCCCAGCCCTCACCACAGTCCACATAAGTCACACACGGGCTCATAGCCAAGCTGTGACCTGGTCCTCACCATCTGGGGCACGAGGGCCTGGGCTGGCCCTGCTAGGCTGGAGCAGCCCTGTCACCTGTGCACATCTTGCTGGTGGAGGCATGGCCCACTGTGCAGGACCCCACACTGACGATTCTCCCCAGGGTCCACATTGGGCCTGGTGCAACATACTCGGGGCCCCAAGCCCTTGTGTCCTGGAGGAAGAGCTGGCTCCAGACATGTGCTGACCACCTAGGGGGACTCTGGTTAACACAGCTTTCTAGAAATAAAACATTTATTTGTTTTTAAACAATTAAAAAGTTGTCCAGGCAGGCCCTTTGCTCAGGCCTGTGCGTTCTGCTCAGCCACTCTGTCGACCACGCTGACCCAGGGGCTGCCCTGGACATAGAAGCGCAGGGGTTTTCGGGCCCACTCCCCTGCATAGCCAATGCCCACGCGGGCTGCTGCCACTACAGCTGGTCCACTGGACTCCAGGGGGCCACGCTCCAACCATATCGCTTCATCCTGAGCCAGGTCCCTCTGGTCAAAGCTCTTGTCGATGGCCAGGGCCTGGCACAGCTTGGAGGGGCCACTGCAGAGCTCACGGTCCTTGAGGACACGGCTGGCGGTGCCTTTCCGGAGGGTGCTGCGAAGCTGATGCATGGTCTCCAGACCTTCTAGGGGCTCCAGTGCTCGCAGCAAGACACAAGCTCCGTCCCCTGTGGGATGGATGGACAGCTTGGAAGTGGAGCCTCCCTGGGCTCCTGTTCCCTTGTGCTGTGCTGCGGGGAGGGTGCAGCTGCCTTCCGCCTGGGCCAGGGACCTGCTCTGTGCACCTGCACTGTCTACTGGGTCTGACCTGGTGGGAGGGGGCTGCACATCAATTTGTAACAGACCCCTCTGCCTACCTCACCATCCTCCATGCCTGCGCCATGAGGTGTGCCTCCCATGGGGACCTCTGGCTGCCACCACTGTGGATGCCCCTATGAAGCCAAACTGTAAAAACACATGACGAATGCTGGGTATCAGCTCCTTTCTCCCTGGCTTCCCCTGGTCTTGTGATTGGCAGCAGCTATGAGACCAGCAAAGGAAACTCCAGAGAGCCAGTCCTTGGGTGGGGTCATTCTGCCAGGAAGCAGGAAGCCCCGGGCCTAGCCAGGCCCCAGGGCTCCCCTTCTGCCTCACCCAGTCGGCATTTGTGTTGGGCAAGTGGTGGGGCTAGGGGCTGGCTTAGAGCAGCTGCCAGTGTGCGCAGGATGTTGGGAGAGCCCAGGCAATGACTCAGTGGAAAGACTGACTGCAACACCCTGCACAGGCAGAGCAGGAGGAGGCCGACAAAGCCCCTCACTTCCCTTGGGATCCTTCCTCCAGCCTAGTCCCCTCCCTCACCAGGCCAGTCCACTTGAGAAGCCAGAGAGAGCAAACAGATGCTTCTGGGCCCAGGGCTCACTCAGGCACACAGATACCCAAATTCCCTCTGTCCTGCATGTTTGGAAAGGCCCCTCAGCTTTCTGGCTGGGAATAATGAGAACCTGGACCCTGGCCAGAGAAGCCCTGGCCCTCCAGCAAGGCAGCTCCCTGGGGACACCTGCTCTGACTCACCTGTGCATCCCTGGCCCTCCAGCCACCTGGTGTCAAAGGCTTGGCCCCAGGGTGGCCAAGCCAGTCCCCATTCTGGGGCAGTGGCCATATAAGCCTCTGCATCGGCAGCCAGAGGCCAGCACTGCTGGACAAAGCCATGCCCTCTGTCAGAGCCAGCAAGTGTGGCGTTCCCGAGAGCAGATACCCTTAACCAGCGAGTTTTCAAAGCATTTCAAGATAAAATCAAGGCCAAGCAAAGCCTTTCAGTTCCCATCCGTTCTGTCATTCCCCCAGTGCTTCCAGCTCACCAGGTGGGGTGCCCGGTGCCCCCGCAACTCACCTCAGTAGGAAGGAGCAGGACCCTCTACATCCCTGTGGGTGCAGGACACATGCCCCTCATTGTCTCACTGGGCCCCCACAGAGCTGCCTGCAAAAGAGTGACAGCCTGGCCGCCCTCACCAGCACACCCTCCTGTCCTGGCTCCTTCACACAGAACACATCCAAGTCCCACATCCTGATAAAAACACGACCCCTTTGATCTCTTCCTGCCAAACCTCCCTGTCCTCACCTACTCCTCTGCCCCCAAGCCCCACCACCGCCTGCTGTGCGTGCGAACTACTCCCCGTGGCGGCCTGACCACTCTGCTCTGCTCGGCACTGCAATCCTCCTCCTCAAACCAGCTCCGCATCCTCAAGTGCTGCCTCCATCAAGGGCAGATGACAACTGTGTCCTCAGCCTCCTTTCTGCCTCCACTCCAACCAACCCTTTCTGCCCCTCTAACCAACCTTGCCCCGTCAATGCAGCCAGAGCTCCTGAAACCCTGACCTGGCCCTGGAAATGGCACTTCTTTGCTCAAATGCCTGCCCCTCCTCAGTCCTGCTGGGGTCGCCTGGCTGCTAGCTGACAGGGCTCTGCCAGCTCTCCAGCCCTCTCAACCACCGACCCCCCCAGCACTGCTCACCCTGGCTGGAGATGTTCATGCAGAAGTACATGCCGTAAATGATGTACACATACAGGGTCCCTGGTTTCATGAACATGCCTCGGTTGCGGGGGGTCTGCCGGCCACCCCTTGAGTGGGCAGCTTCATCCTCTGGCCCCAAGTATGCTTCAGTCTCCACGATGCGGCCCCGGAGCTCTGTGCCGTTAGGAAGTCGCCGGACTAGGACCTGTGGGGAGTCAGTTTCTGCTCAGGGCAGGAAGGGTTGGGGGTCTACTCACCCTAAGTTTCTAGCCTGGACCTCATCTCCCCAGCTCAGGGTGTATCAGCCACCCAGGTCTAGCTAGGGACCTTGCCCCATCTCTGTCCTGCCTCTTCTCTTGCTCCTGCTCAGAGCCTGATTGTGGCTGTTGAGGCCACCAGCTGTCTCCTCCAGGGACCACCAGACTGCAGGCTGAAGACACCTCAGGCCACAGCCAGGGCTGGGCTGGCAATCAGCAGCGTGGATTCACCTTGCAGGTCGACCTTCGAGTCCTCCATTCCCCAGCTTCCTCCTTTCCCAAGTACCCTGGAGCATTCAGCATGAGGCCAGGCATCACGGGAGGCACAGGACCTCAAGGATGTCCCCATACCAGCTGCCTGGGAAATCCCAGAGCCTGTGAAGTCCCCTAAACCTGGGATGCTGAGGTGGCCACAAAGGACCCTCATATTCAGCGCCCACCCTCCAGCATTAAGGCCTTTCTCCGCAGTTGTGCCCAGTGCTCTGCTCGGAGCCCCAGGTATTAGACTTCACAGCAGAGCACTGGGGACCAGCCACATCCCCAGCACCTGTCTCCTTTTCAGGCCAGAGGAGTCAGCTGGACAGCCAGGCCATCTTCACCTCAGCCCAGGAAGCCTTGTGGTGCCATGGTCAGTATCTCCAGTAGGAGAGGAGGGGCACCGGGGCTTAGATGCTCGCTGGGGGGAGCATTGAGGCCTTCCTGGAGATAGGGTGGAGGGAAGAAGGGGGTCAGTGCCTGTGATGGAAGCCCAGAAATCCTTAGGCAACCAAAGCCACGAGGACAGAAGTGAACCAGCCAGGCTTGGCGAGACCATGTCCAGGGGAGAAAGGGTGGCCCTGTTCTGCTTCCTGTTCCATCCCAAATTTCTGATCTGGATTTCACTCTGATACCATTTTCACCAATGGCAGATACTGGGACCTCTCACCCCTCCCCACTGCCATTACAAACCCACAAACCCCTGTTTCTTGCTGGTGGAGCCTCCTGGGGGAGACCATACCCTCCTTAGCCCAGAGAGTGGCCTGGGTTTTCATGGTAACTCACTGCAGTGACCCTTTTAGGGATGAGTGCATGGCTCAAGCCTGGTTGAGGACTCTGCAAGGACACCCACTGGGAGGTTATGGAGAGGGCTGTCCCTGATCCAAGGGACACACCGGGTGAGACACTGTCTTCTCTGCTGGACATCATCTTGTCCACCAGTGGGCTCAAGTGGGCATGACTGTGGCCTGCCAAGGATGCTGAGTACAGACAAATGTTTTGTGGCCCCTGATGCCACCCTGGGCCCTCACCCTGATCCTGGGATGTACCTGCCACATGCGATGTTTTGTTGTATCACAAATGCCCATTACTTAAGGTGCTTGCAAAAGGATCCTCATGGGGACACAATGTTGTCTGTTCTCCACAATTTCTAGGGTCTGCTCCTTTAACACCCAATTCCTGGCACTGGTATTTCTCTCGGTGATTTTTTTTTTTTTTTTGAGACGGAGTTTCGCTCTTGTTTTTTTTAGTAGAGATGGGGTTTCACCGTGTTGACCAGGATGGTCTCGATCTCTTGACCTCGTGATCCACCCGCCTCGGCCTCCCAAAGTGCTGGGATTACAGGCGTGAGCCACCGCGCCCGGCTCTCTCGGTGATTTTAACCTAAAAGTAGGCTGGCACTGCTATTTCTCTTCTTGGTGATTTTAACCTAAAAGAAGGCTCACTGCAGGACAAAGGGAAGGCCTTGGAGACCCCAAGAACCAGAAACGCAGGCCTGGAGCTTTTGCATTCAGGAACAACACCCAGTCGGTGCTCCCAACAGATCCAGTCAGGATGCCACAGCTGTGTGGGGACGGGCTGGAACACAGGCCCCACCAGGATGGGCCCTGGGCAGTCCCTGCCTCTAACTCCAAGTCTGATTGGCAGATCCCAGACCCTGGACCTACACTGAGCTGCAGGGGCCCTGGGAAGCCAGCACTGCACTGTGGACCACTGCAGTGGGAAGGGGCAGCCCAACACTGGCCACGGCCACAGTTCCCACGTGTGGAAAGACTGCGGGGGGGGGACAGTGGCACTCTTGCTCCACCCTGGGCAGGCGGCACTGACAATCTCCACATTCTTCCCAGATGATCTCAGGCAACTGAGGTGAAGCTATCCAGGGACCAGTGTGAGCAAAGCAGCTAACTGCATGGACAAGGAGGACTAACCAGGGGCCAAGCCCAGCAGGCAGCAGTTCAGGGACAACTGCAGTGACAGGTACTTGAGGAGCGACTAGGACATTTACATTACCTGTCCCAGAAACGCCTGGGCCAGGGTGACTGCCGGCTGGTCGAAAAACTCCGACCCCAGTCGAGTAAGGTGGCCCTTTGGGCTTGAGAAATAGATGCTGCGGTGTGGGCCCAGGGTGGTGGGTGGTCCCAAGCAGGGCTCCTTGGGGCAGGGTGCCTGGGCTGCATAGGATGGGCTCTGCGGCCGCTCCGCTTTGTCTGCTTGCTGCTTTTTCTGCCCCGTCCTTCGGGAAGACTAATGGGAAAAAAAAATGTAAGCATCAGAATAGGAGAGGACAGACAGCAGTGTGGTGAGGTCAGGTTGGGGAGCTCAAGGACTGGATTCGACCACCTGCCTCAGTTTCTTCATCTACAAAGCGGTGCTGACTGCCCTGCGGGTTGTTACGACACACACACAGTGCTACCTCCACACACTGGAGGCCTCAGGGAGTGGTCACATCTGAGGATGGATGGCTGCTGCTGGTAGCAGGGTGGCTGCTCTGCCCCACGTATGTGGGGGGTACACAGCGTGGGGGACCGGGGCTGCATGACCTTGGGAGCGGATGGGGGCCCAAGCCTTGGACAGCAGGGCTGGTGCCCTCTGATTCCCACGCATCGTGCAGGCCCCAAGCAAACGTCTGAGCTGGTTTCTGGAACCCTGCCCTTTCATCCAAAACACCAGGAATTCAAAACACAGCCAGAACCTTGGCGGGGCCTTAGCAGGGATCCCACTGCGCCAGATTCCCTGGAATGGCCCCCAAGGCCTGAAACACAGGGAGGGGTGAGAACTGTGGTGACCGCTGGCCTGGCCCCATCCCATGGGCTCAGGGCCCCTAACTGTCCTCTGCTTCATGGCCCAGGTTGGATAACGAGCAAGTGGGACAAAGGTAAAGTCTCCTGAGGGACTACGAGGGTCTGCTGAAACCCAGCGGGCCACCAGCCTCCCACCTGTGGCCTCCCCATAGGCAAGGGAGCCTGACCACAAATCCTCAGCTGTTCGGGGGCCAGAGGAGGAGGGAAGATGAAGGCGGAGGGTGAGCGCCGGCCTGGCAGCACCCAAGTCCTCCTGGCATGGGAGACATGCATTATTTTTAACGGAAGTGCTGACGTTCATGTCGAATTGAGACCGCCAGTCGGCCTGGAACGCACGCTCACGTGACCGTCTCCTCAGTTCGGCCCGCGCTGCCACTGCGCCGTGCGCCCAGCCCCCGGGCGCTGCGGCCCCTGCTCTCGGTCCGATCTTGGCCCTCGGCCCGCCCTGGCACGCTCTGGCTCTGCCTTGAACCCCCGGGGCGGTGGGCGGTGCGCCCGTCCCAGGCTCTCCGGGTCCAGCGGCCGCGCTCAGCGCTGCGCCTTGGGGTGGGCCGTCTGTTCCGCGGTGCGTCCGAGGAGCGAGCTCACCTGGGCCCCGCTGTGTGCGGGCATCCGGCGGCTTGGGCCGGGGCTTCGTGGGGCTCGGACGCCGGTGCGGAGCAGCCGCTGAGCCCGGAAGCGCAGTTAGGACCGGGATGGAGCCGGCGCCTGCGCGGAAGGGGACGGAAGCCGGGAAGGGAGGGGCCGGAGCGCCGGAAACAGGCTGCGCCCCCGGGGCGGGGCGGACCACACGGAGGCGGGTCTTCTCAGAGCCCTCGGTCAGTTCTGGAGCGGCGCCCGGGCCTGGTGCGGTGCCTGCGGAGCGGGAGCGGGCCCCCCGCCGTGCCCCAGTGACCGGGCCTGCGCCCCCGCCTGCGCCCTGGTCGCCCCGCGGCCTCAGAGCGCACCCCGCCAGCCGGTGGTCACACCGCGGAGAGAACGGGTCCACTGTGAACCTGCCTGGGTCCTCGCGGGGCCCGGGCCGAGTGGTCGTGCTTTGGGGGAGGGGCAGGCGCAGACGTGTTTTCCGGTGGGATGTCTGCGGAGTGCGCGCCTGGGAGGCCGCCCCAGCTGTGGTCGGAATGGGCCAAGGAATCCCTGTCCAGGAAGTGGACGCCCTTGGGCCGGGGTCGTCACCGACTGGTGGGAGGAAGGAAGGAGGGAGCGGCGCGGATTCTGTCTCTGCAGTGGAGCCCCCATCTGTCTTTCCGCCCAAGGATGCTGAAGCTCGCCCACGTTCTGGGTTGTGCCTGCTGGAGCGCAGCCAGCCTCCTCTAGAGGCTGAGGCCAGACCAGGGCTGAACACGGCCTGGCAGTGCGCAGCCGCCCTGTGCTTTTGATGCCTCCCCAGCGGCCCAGTGCCTGCTGCGCCTGTAACCTCTCAAGTCAGATCCATGCGCCTAGGGAGGGGCAGGGACGGTGCTTGGTGCAGTGGAAGGAAGGGCCTAGGGGACGGGCCCTGAGGGGGCTGGGCACACTGCTGGCTCCCATGGCTCATGGCAGCCCCAGCACCCAGCAGAGCCCTCCCCAACTTCTGGCCGCTTGAGGGTTTATCTGGATCTGCAGGGCCCCTCCCCTATGGCAGGCACAGTCCGACCCCACAACCCACCTCTGCCGTGTAAGAACCCTTGAGGGGCTTTTCCTGAGCTGTCTTTGTTATCTGTGACCCTGGTCCTGGAAAGGGGCATCTGAAAAGGCCTTGAAGAGCGGTCGGGCATCTGGCAGTGTCAGCTGGGAGACGCTGGGCAGGGCAGATGCACAGGCAGTGTGCCTGGACCCCTCAGATGAGTGTGACACCCGGTCCTACAGAAAGGCTAACAGGGAGGACCCTGGTCTCTAACTGCATCTTCTCCTCTGACCAGCCGCCCCACCGCCATGGGCCTCAGCCAGGACTTCCTGGGGAGGGAGGGGCCATCAGCCGCCTGCTGGAAGCCACCAGCTGTTTGTAGCCCGGTGTACTGCTTGGTGGGGGGGACAATGTGTCATAAATCCATGTTTATAAAGCAGGCCTGGATGTGATCCCACACCCTCCCTGCTTATCCCCTGCTATGCAGCCCAAACAATGCCTCTCTCCTTCCTGTGGGAACAGCCTCCCATCCCCCCCAGTCTCCCCCTCAATCTAGCGAGGAAACTGAGGCCCCAGTTGAGCCTTTATCTTCTTGATGGGCAGGGACAGGGTGGATGTTGCTTTGTACTTACATTTATTCTGATTTTACAAGTGATACATGATCCTTGTAGAAATCATGGGGAGTCCAGAGGCGTGTTTTTATCCCCCCATTTCTGATGAGGGAAGAGACTCAAGAGGGCAGACTGGCCCCTGCCCCAGGAGGAGAAGGGGCGGCGCCAGGGCGCCAGCAACCAACTTCTCCAGATGTTCTGGCCTGAGTGCTGGGGCTTGTGCAACCCCACTTCCTGGTTTGTGGTCTAAAGCTCCCACCACAGGCTGGAAGTAGTGGGATGAGCGTTCCAACTGTGGCCTGCAGAGTGGGCTGGCGGGCTGGTCCGCAGCGAGAGGAGGTGGTGCCAGGTGAGAAGAGGGGGCCTGGGGCCTCCTCTGTTCTCATTTTGCCCCAGTGATGGGCTGGAATAGGCTTGGTGGAGGAGTCAAGGGTATCAGTTGAAGATGGAGATGAGGACACCCTCGAGGCTTTGAAAGGAGTCAAGGCGGGGCCGGGCACGGTGGCTTACGCCTATAATCCCGGCACTTTGGGAGGCTGAGGCAGATGGATCATGAGGTCAAGAGTTCAAGACCAGCCTGGCCAACATGGTGAATCTGTGTCTCTACTAAGAATACAAAAATCAGCTAGGCGTGGTGGCACGTGCCTGTAAATCACAGCTACTTGGAAGGCTGAGGCAGGAAAATTGCTTGAACCCAGGAGGTAGAGGTTGCAGTGAGCCAAGATTGTGCCACTGCACTTCAGCCTGGGTGACACAATAAGACTTCATGCGGGATGGGGAGGGGAGGAAAGACAGGGCATGGTGGCTTATGCCTGTATGTAATCCCAGCACTTTGGGAGGCCGAGGGCAGGGTGCGGATCACCTGAAGTCATGAGTTTGAGACCAGCCTGGCCAACATGGTGAACTTCCCATCTCCACTAAAAATACAAAAAACTAGCTGGGTTTGGTGGCACATGGCTGCAATTCCAGTTACTCGGGAGACTGAGGCAGGAGAATCACTTGAACCCAGGAAGTAGAGGTTGCAATGAGCTGAGATCGCGCCACTGCACTCTAGAATAGGTGACAGAGTGAGACTCCATCTCAAAAATAAAAAAAGGAGGCAAGGAAATCAAGGCTAGTATTGGTATTCCAGTGAGCAGCCCTGGCTCCCCACCTCCACGACAGGCCACAGGCTGCGGAGGGGCTGGAGCCGCCTCTAGCTATAGGAGGTGTGGCTATCAGTCAGTCACTGAAGCCTTTGTAAGCAAGTCCTTGAGAGATGTGGCTTCATGGGCCGCAGAGGCCAGGATTCCAGTATCATCCCCATGGCCCCATGGTGCCCAGCACACTACCTCCATCTCTCTTTGATGGTGGGGGTGCTGACAGCTGTTGAAGCAGTGTCAGCTCAGAGGCCTTGGGCTCCTCTACAGCCGTGAGCTGACTGCTTCCCAGTAGGATGGCTGCTGGCCTCTTCACTGGTCTCTGGGGTCCTCTGTGTCCAGCAAGCCCTGAAGGGTCAAAGCTTCCTTGGGCAGAGAAGGCGGCCACTGGGCAGGCTGAAGTGGGTGTGTGTGTTCTGCATCCTCCCTGCCTGGGGCTGAGCTGCCAGTACTGCTGGGTCCTGGGCCCAAGTGCTTCTGGGAACCCCTTGCTAAACCCTGGGATATGGGGAGGGGGCAGCTGCCTCACAAATAGCCTATGACTTCAGGCCACTGGCTGGCCTGGCCCACTTCTGCCTCTTCCCCAAATAGCCAGGAGCTGGTCATGGGCCCATCCCTGCAGCTCTGCTCCCCATGCAGGAGCAGTTTCTTCTGATCCTTCCAGGGACTTTCCAAAGCCCAGGGTCTGACCCCTTGGGGTGGTTACCTGTGGCCTAGAAACTGAGCTGAGGATTTTGGAGTAGCTGTTGGGAACTCCTCTTACTGATCAGGGCTCCTATTACCTGGTGTCCTGGTGTGAGGTCCACAAACTCGTCCATGTGGACTGGGTACAGTCAGTCCTGAGCACATGTATATCGACCCTCCTCTGGTCATCCTTTTTGGAAATAGATGCTCGGTGCCACAAGGAAAGATTAACACTGAGAAAAAGGATCTCTGAGCAACACAGTTTTTACCTCCTGGACTGCAGGATGGGTACTTCTGGGGGCCATGATACCACTCCCCGCAGTCCAGGAGGTAAAAATTGCGTTGCTAAAAGATCCTTTGTCTCAGTGCTAATTTTTCTCAGGAGGGCAGGGTGGGCTGAGAGCCTGGGGATTCCTGGACACAGGCTCTGAGGTGGGGATTTGCCTGCAGGGGCAGACTGGGGTGTGCTCCTTGGTGGGGGATGTTTCAGCTCTGAGCCAGCTGAGGCTGGTGCTCCTGGCAGCTGGCAATGAGTGTCTGGGTCTTGGAGCAGGTCTGGGTGGAGCCTGACAGCATCCACTGCAGAAGGAGACCTGCTGACACCAGATGCCCAGCTGTGGCATGCCTTGGAGGCAAGCCTAGGCCCCAGCTTTCCAAAGAGGACACCCTAGCTGGCCCTGCCAGCCTTGTCTGGGCATCCAGGCCCGGTAGGGCTTGACTATCCCTGGCAGGGGTCAAGAATGCTAGGCATGGAGACTGTCCTGTCCCTGGCTGTGAGCCTGGCATGGGTGAGGTGGCACGTGCAGGATACCGGAGCTCTGAGTGTTGGCATGGGGGCAGGCTCCCTTTCACCCAGTGTCCCTGATGCATGGGCAGTCATCCCCCCAGTGGAGTTCCCCTCCAAAGCTTTCATTGTCTCCTTCTACAGGAGTAGGATGTTGGTATTGCTTGTGTTCGGAGAGGCCCACTATGTGCAGGTACCGCCTTATCCCACGGTGTGGACAAGGATCTGGGCAGAGGATGCTTACCCAGGCTCTGTGATCTACCGGTAAGTGTACCAGCACCTTTAGTTCATATTGTCACCTTTCTTTTTTTTTTTTTTGGAGACGGAGTTTCGCTCTTGTTACCCAGGCTGGAGTGCAATGGCACGATCTCCGCTCACCGCAATCTCTGCCTCCTGGGTTCAGGCAATTCTGCCTCAGCCTCCTGAGTAGTGGGATTACAGGCATGCGCCACCATGCCCAGCTAATGTTTTGTATTTTTAGTAGAGACGGGGTTTCACCATGTTGACCAGGATGGTCTCCATCTCTTGACCTCGTGATCCACCCGCCTCGGCCTCCCAAAGTGCTGGGATTACAGGCTTGAGCCACTGCGCCTGCCGTCGCCTTTCTTTTCTGTAGCCCAGGACCAGGCCATTGTCTGTGTTGGGCACTGGGTGCAACAGCTCAGTTTGGAGAGGGCTGGTGCCTCCCAGGCCCAGAGGATGGCACTGAAGCCGCAGCAGCGTTGTGACCAGCACAGGGCCTGAAGATACATTTTTCCAAGGCCTGAGGGACCACTCTCTAGAGGGGTCCTTATGGATCCATGGGAAGAAGGGATCCCTGCACCCTCTATCCAGAAGAAGCCTCGGCCCCCTCACCACTCAGAGCTCCTGGACAGCCCTGCCTGTACTCTGCTGGCACCCCTGTCCCCCCTCCCCTGGGTCAGCCCACCCAGTATCAGGAGGCAAATGCTGGGTAGCTCCCACCGGCCCCAGCTGAAAGCAGAGGGCCATTTTGAGTCCAACCCAGAGAGTGCAGGGATATGAGCCCACCCCAGGGTGGTGGCTGAGCTCTGAGACGGTGAGAAGAGCCCAGAGTGGACAGCAGACATGGTGCTGCCTCTGCTCAGTGGCTTCAGGTGGGGCCGGTGCGGCCTGGCCTGAGTGCCTGCTGGGGTAGCAGGGCTTCTGGGGGTGGGGGCGCGGGGCCTGGGAACGGACAGTTGCTCCAGTTCTGAGCTGAATGTGTGCATCACTGTACAATTTTGTGTGTACATGTGTGAGTGGCATGAGTGCATACCCATGAAAGATGTACATGAGTAGGTGGGTGCATGTGAGTGTGTGCTTGGGTGAGCCCATGAAATACATGAAGTGAATGAAGGTGGGGCGTGTCTGAGTGATCAGTGGCGTGTGCGCAGGTATGTGTGGGTGACTGTGAGATACAGGACTCATCAGTGTGGGCCTCTGGAGGAGGTCTGGTTTAGGGGAGCCAGGGTTACCCACCCATCCTCCACTCTGCCCCCACCTGCCCTCTCTCCTTAGTCCCCATCCACTCAGCACAAATCAGGGCAGGACAGGTCGGGCCGCAATCTAGAGCCAGGGAGAGGTGGAGCTGCCCATCGCTGATGCTCCCACCAGGCCCTCCGTCCCGCCAAGGCGCTCGCGACCTCAGCCACAGGTGTCCTTCCTCGCGAACAGACAATGGGGAGAGCGGAGCCCAGCGGCCTTCCCGGAGGAGGTGACTGGAGTCGGGCAGGCGGGCGGCGCGCATTCCTGAGCCCTGAGTCAGCGCGGCCGCCCCCTCCGGCCGGGCCCGCCCCCGGCGCGCACGCCCCTCGCTCCATGGCATTCCCGGGCGGGCGGGGACTCGGCGCGGGCGCCCTCCCGGCCAGCAGCGGCAGCCCCTCCTCCCCGGCGCCCTCCGGACCCACCAAGGACCCCCGGCGGCGGTGAGTGAGCGCGGCCGGGAGCACAGGGCTCCGCGGGCTGGCGGGCTCCGGGGCTGCGTCCGTCAAACGCGGGGCGCGTTCTCAGCACCCGGTGGCCGGTGCTGCTCTGAGCGACCGGGGCCCTGTCGGGGCCGGGGCCGGGGCCGGGGCCGGGGCCGGGGAGGGATCGCGGCGAGCCCTGCTGGGGCGGCAGGACTTTTCTTCCCGGAGTTTCCCGAGTCACCCGCGGAGGCGGCCCAGCCCCGGATTCCTACCCCGGAGCGCCGCAAAAATAGCCCCTGGCCGGATTAGCAGTCCCAGCGGCCTGGCTGGGCCGGACAGCTCGGCTCCAGCCTCCGCCCAACAGCTGAGGGTCCCAGGAGCGGGACGCTGAGTCCGGGGGTGCCCAGGCTCCTCTGAGCTCCCAGCCCCCCTACATTGTCCTTCCCGGCCAACACCGGTGGGTGGTGTCTCCAAGTCGAAACTCCAGCTCAGGGCGGGATCATCCCTGTCCCAGCCGCCTTCCCCAACGGGAATAGCCAGAGCAGTGGAGCTGGGGTGGGGGACTGACTCCACCTTCTGCCCCAGGGCACTGACTCCCCCATCTGTAAACATGGAAACTCCAGGGTGGGCTAGGAGCGACTCCCACAGACAAACCCTCACCCCGTGCCAGAAGCCAGCAGAGACAGGCCTTCTCCCAGCTGGGGCGACAGCCAGACCCCAGGTGCTCAGGGCACTGGCAGAGGGGTGGCTGTCATGCTGGGGGCGTGTTTGCGGGGCTGGGTGCGGAATGGGCGGGGATATCTTCCCTGGCCCCCCAAGGCCTGCTCCCAACCCAGGTGGTCCTGACCAGAGTTCCTTCTGTGCCTGCAGCTTGAGACTGAATGTGTCTGTCTGGGTGGGTGGGGTCTAGTTCTGGAGGCCCTACTCCTATCCTGGGAACCCCCACCCCCCCAACGGGACTTCCTGTTGGAGATCGGGGGAAGATTCAAGGATGAAACTGGCTTTTCAGGTTTGACCCAGCTAGATGCCTAGGCAGTCCCAGGCTGGGTTCTCCCGCCCCTGTGGAGCCAGCTGCAATCCCCTTGCCCCCACCCCAAGGGTGGGCGGAAGCCAGTAACCAAGGAGCTGGCTGGGGCTCAAGGGGTCCCTGAGGCCGAGCCAACCGGGGTTCATTCTGGGCAAGCTGGGTCCCTTTTCCTGAGAAAGGGGCAGTGGCAAATGGGGTACATGGGAGTCTGGTGGTCTCGGATTGCAGGCACTGGGCCTCAGACCCTTTCCCAGCCCTTCCAAGCAGCTTTCACTGGCTGGCTGGCCTCCACTGCACAGACAGGCCCCTGGAGCAGCGTGGGGGATTGCTGTCATCCCTCAACCTGCACCCCTCATGAGCTGGCTGTTGGTTCAGCGGGAGTCACCCAGGTCTCTCCTGTTTTTCAGGATCTTCCCAGCTACAGTCCCTGCTCAGGGCACCCCTAGTTGCTCTTGGCTGTGAGGGCCTCCCCTGCACTGGCTCCAGATCCCCCACCTCCGTGTCTGTGCCAGGATCACAATTTGCCCAATGATTGAATTCCTTGGCTCCTGCCTGTGTTTTGAGTTGGATGATTTTGGGGGTGACTCCTTCCTCCTTCAACTGAGATGCCCCTGATAGAGCAGGTGGCATGGAATCTTAGAGGGGTCTGACAGCCCTCCACAGCCACGAGGCTGAACAACCCAGGTGTTCTGCTTTGTCCTCTGGGGTCTGCAGCGAAGGGCAGCTGGGGCAGGCAGACAGAGTCCCTTCCACCACCGCTCCTGGGCAGACCTGGCCCAAGGCTTTGTACTCCCTTAGAGGCTCTGAGACCTTAGGCAGTGATGGGCTTCTTTGAGCCTCAGCTTCCTTATCTGTAAGATGGATATGGAGTACCCCCTCCCAGGGTTTACACAGACCACTGTGATCAGTCGGGATCTGGTTTGAGGAAGGTGAGCCAACTGCTGAGTGCGGAAGCCATTTCTGCTCTGACTTGGTCCAGTCCTGTCCTGCGGCTGGTGGGTCCCAGGAGGGGGTTGTGGGGTTACTGACCCCTGGGCACCAGGGAGCATGTGCATAGGGTCAGTCAGGGACACCTCTGGAGGGCTCTGACTGGTGACTGGGCTGCCCATCTGTCCTCTGGCCAGACGTGTGCATGGGGTGTGGGCCTCTCCCACCTCCAGCCTGGAGAGGGTGCTTTTGCCTAGCTCCTGGGACCCAGCTAGACTCCAGACTGGGGACTAGAGGTGTCCAGCTTACCAGGCAGCTTACACCCAGAAACTGGTGTAGTTAAGTCCTTGCTGCCGTCCCCTTTCTGACTGTGCGGCCTGGACAGGTCCCCTGACCTGCCCTTGGTGTCCCCTGGCTCCCAGGTGTGTCTGCCATGTCAGCCCTTGTCAGACCCAACTGAGGCAGGGATTTGGCTCTGGTGACCCCAGTGCCATGGGGCAGCGCCCTACCCCCTCCCCATTGCCGGCCCCTTGACCTCCCTGGGCACTACTCTCCCCGGTCAGGGCTGGAATGTCAGTGGCATCAGGGATTCCTGTGTCTCCAGGCCCTCGGGCGTCTTCTCTCACAGGTGGCCGGTAGGAAACTTCTTGTTTCCTCTACTTGCCTGGGGTGATGAGGGGAGGCAGGGAACCAGTGTGTCCTGCTGGGGAGCTGGAGAGGACCCCGCAAAGGTCTCAGGCCTGCCCTGCCCCATCCTGAACCTCATTTCTTCCACAGAAAGGTAGAGGCTTTACTGGGAGCGTTTGCAAAGAGCCTAGTAAATGTCATTGCCGGTATGATGCCATTCACAGACAAGGTGCAGAGACAGGCCAGGTGACTTTCCCTTCATCAGGCCGGAGGAGCTGATGCTGGGCTGCCAGGCAGCTGGTGACTTTCCCTTCTCAAGGCAGATCTAGGATTGGGTTTCAGATTAGAAGTCAAGCAGAAGACGGGTCAGAGACCAGCGTGTGGGTGGGGATTCTGGAGGAGCCACCTCCCCCGGGGCGTGGCTCGGGTGAGCTGAGGACACGTCTGGGCAGGTGTCCTGGGGTGAGGCCCCTTGCTCCAGCTGACCTCGAAGCAGGCAGTTGCCTGGGAGGAGCAGAGCCCAGGCGTGATGGTTCCGGCCCTGGGGTTGGCAGTCTCCTCTGTGGCCAATTGTCCCTGCCAGCGTGGTCCTGTGAGTGTGCAGGGCAGGCCTGAGCACAGAGGTGGTTGCTGCTTACACCTGAGGGTGCAGCTCTGCACTGGCCGAGCTTCACTGTGGTCTCTTCCCGCACTCGACGCCTTCGAAGGGTCTGTCCCCAGGTGTCCCCGGGGCTGCCCTCTTGTTGCATATGCTGTAGGGTCCTTTCACACCTCAGCTCCTGCCCCCCAGAGAGTACCCAGTGCCCACAGGCAGCACCAGACACTGTGGTGGAGTCAGCCACTGCCTGTTGTGCCAGGTCCTGCTGTGACCCCTGATTTCCATTTGGGAAAGCTGAGGCTTGCTTGGGGTGTAGGTGGTGGAGACACAGGCCTGAGCGTCAGCCTGGGCCGTCCCCAGTGGCCTCCCTGCACCGGCTCCTGCTCCCTGGCTCTCCCTGCACCCGTGCACGGGGCCAGCTTGATGGATCCAAAGACCTCTCCAGAAACCAGAGTCCACAGGACTCTCCGGCATCCCCCGCCCAGCCCCTCCACACCAGGCTCCGCAGGCAGCCGGAGTGGACTCCAACGTGCATGAGGCCAGTGGCCCCCTTCACCGTCCTCACCCTCAGCCTTCTCGAGAGCCCTGACCCGGTCCCCCAGCTGGTCCTGGGATGTGATGTGGCTTTGGGTGTCGCTGATGGGGCTGGCAGCTGTGATGCTGCTGCAGTGACTCAGATGCTGTGTGACCCCAAGCAGTCAGGCCCTCTGTGGGCCACAGTTTCCCCCTATACTGAGGGGCCAGCAGGGGGGAGACACTGTTGGGATCCCCCCCGAGGGGCTTTCTGGGAACAAGAGCCCACTGTGTGCCTGGGGAAGGCCTGGACACTGAGCCACTGTCTCTGGGAGGGCAATATGCCGCTCCCTGGCCAGACTCTTTGTCCCGCCGGGGCCGGCCCCTCCCCACGCCTACTCCGGCTCTTCCTTTGTGAATCCCACCCACTTGAGGCCCAGATGGGGATCTAGGCACACAGGGGTGGGGCAGGCCAGAACACCCAGCACTGGGAGCAGGGTGAGTCCTCTGCCCACCTGCAGGACCTCTGCCTGCACTGCTAGCACAGGAGGGGTTTTTGGGGAGGTGAGGAACCCCAGGAGAACTAGATGTACAGGCATGGCAGCTGGTGCTTCCCGCATGGGCTGAGCACCCTGCTGTTTGCTGGAGCCGACTTTGGGCCCCGGCTGAGACGTACTGGGGAGGTCAGGTTCCCCATACATGCTCGCACTGCGCAGCTCTTCTCACCTCCCAACTGTCCCTGTTTGCACCTGCTCATGCCAGGCAGCTCCTCTCCCAGACCCGGTCAAGGGGCCATCTTGAGTAATCCTTCGTTACCCTAGCTACGGACCCAATGGCCTGGGCCCTGCAGCGATCAGTGTTTACCCAGCAGTGGTTTCAGAGCAGACCAGTCCTGAGCGCTGTGGAACCAGCACGTGTGAATTAACTCCCTTGCTGTGCTGTGCCGTGTTGTGTCTTGGAATCCAGGACACGACCACCTTCGGGGAGTGGGGGAGCCTGAGGCTGCAGGTCCTCAAACACGTGGGAGGGCGTGCAGGGCGCACGTGCAGGCTCTGAGGGGAGGGAGTCAGCTGTGAGGAGCCATGGAAGTCACGGATGTGTGTGAGCTGATCAGCTGGCAAAGGTCTGTGTTGGCAGAGTTCACTCACACTCCTGAGTGAAGAACCACCTGGGTGCAGCCTAGTGCTGCTGGGCACAGGTGGAGACTCCTGGAGAGGACAGCCCCCTGGATTCAGCCTGCTGGTTCCTGGCAGTGGCCCCCGTCTCTGCTCTGGGCCCAGCCCCTCTCTGGCCCCATAATGGCCTCACTGGGAACATTTGTCCATGTTCTGGGTGAGAACATGCTGGGAGTGTACTCAGGATGCTGTCCCAGCACTGTGGGTTCTGGAAGCCCCTTCCCAAGCACCGCCTGGCTTCCCAATGTGCCTGACATGGTCTGAAATTGCAACCTTAGAGTCTGAGACTCAGAGGCAGCCCTCCTGGCTCTTCCTCACCAGCAGGGCGATCGTACTGCTATCCGTAAGCTCTGCAGAGGGAGGGCTTGGGGACGATCGGGAAATTGAGCTGCGACTCCTTGATGCTGTGGCTGGGCTGTATCCAGGACACGCAGGTCTGGGCTGGGTTTGGGCCACAATTCAGATGCAGAGTGGTCTCCTAGAGGGACCTTGACCCACCCGGTTCCCATCAGGATGCCTTCCTGTCTGACCCTGTGGCACTCGGGGGGTCTGCATGGGCCATGGGCCTAGGAGGGACTCCCAGAGATGTGGAGGCAGCTGCTGCCCTTGGCCCTTGCACCTGATTCCAGGCCGAGTGAGGGCCAGGGAGAGGAGCCTTAGGGGGCCTTGTGGAAGGAACAACCCCTGAGCATCATGTATGGGGAACTTCCCAGTGCTTTCCCCCCATCACTCACCTGGGAACTGAAGTGCGCAGTCAGCTCAGAGAAGGGGCTGGAGTGTGAGGGGTGGGGTAAGAGCCAGCAGAAAGCATCCCTGAAGGACCCTCTTCCACCTGTGTCTGTTCTGGTCCATGTAGGACCAGTAGGGGCTGTGAGCAGCATTCCCAACCTTTCCCTGGTGGTACAGAGTCAGAGGAGGCCGTGTGCACTGTCCCGGGCGCGTCCCCGGTGGTGCAGGTCGGAGGAGGCCGTGGCACTGTCCTGGACCCGTCCCTGTTTGGCAAAGATTGTTAGGAGCTGTGAGCAGCATCCTGTGCTGCCTGCACATATGACCTTGAGCAGGGCAAGCTTGTGTTCCCTATTTCTTTCCCTATTTCTACAGCATAGGTGGGGCTTTCCTCCAAGCGGTTGAGAGGGACACCCATGTGTGAAAGCCGTTTCTGGGGCCTTAGTGGGTGGGCTGCAGCTCTTTAAAGAGGTGGAGGAATTTGGGGTTTTCTGTCTAAAATTGCTTCTGGAAGCTCTGGCCAGCCCCCCACAACTGTCTGTCCAGTGGCGTGCTCAGGGGCCTTCCTCAGTTTGGATCTCTGCTGTGATGCCCGTGTGGTCCCCCTGGGTTCGGGGCAGCTGCGGCTCTGCCAGGAAGGTGTAAGGGTAAATAGAGTCACAGTCACATGGCCAGGCAGTGGTGGCCAGAACGAAGCCTGGCCTGTCTGCTGTGGGGCTTTCCCCTGGGCCCTTGCCCTGTGCCTGGGTGATAGGTTTGGGGTTGGGGCGGGATGCTCAGCGTGGATCCAACCATGCAGTGCCCGGCTGCCCCAGCACCCAGCCGCCTCACTGCCGTTTCTGGGCACGTTGCGCCACCTGGTGGCCATGCTGGTGTGTGCCCAGGTGGTTTCTGGGAAGTCATTTGTGCACAGGAGCTGGGGACCACCAGCTCCTGCCCGACCGCGCTCTTTCCCGAGTGTGGTGGCTCTATGCAGTGGACTGATCACACACCCCTTACAGGCTGTCCTGTGCATAGTGAGGCCTTTGTCTCTGGAGTAGAAGTCTTGGTGCGTAAGAGGGTGAGGGCTGGGTAAGACAGGCCTGAGATTTGCCCTGGCACAGACTAGGGTGAGCCCCATGTTCCTAAGACCTCACATTGGCTGTTCTCTGTGTGTGGAAACCCCTGCAGCCCCAGCTGTGCTCACCCCCCTCCTTCAAGCCTTTGCTTATATGTCGCCTCACAGGGAGGCCTCACTCCGTCCTGCCAAGCAACCCTAATTTGCTTTTTTGTTTTTTTGAGACAGCGTGTCCTGCTGTTGACCAGGCTGGAGTGCAGTGATATGATCTCGGCTCACCGCAACCTCCACCTCCCGGGTTCAAGCGGTTCTCATGCCTCAGCCTCTTGAGTAGCTGGGATTACAGGCATGCGCTACCATGCTTGGCTAATTTTGTATTTTTAGTAGAGACGGGGTTTCACCATGTTGGCCGGGCTGGTCTTGATTTCCTGACCTCAGATGATCTGCCCGCCTTGGCCTCCCAAAGTGCTGGGGTTACAGGTGTGAACCACGGCGCCTGGCCCCTGATTTGCTTTCTTTCCCCCATCATACTTAGCATCTTTTAACCAACCAGTACATTCGCTTATTTTAAAAGTTCATTGTATAGACTGCAGGCTCCAGAAGGGCAGGGATTTTGTCTCGCTTTTCCACCAGTGTGTCTCCAACACCTAGAGCAGTTCCTGATCATACTGGATGCTCAGATAGCTGTCCCATGGACTTACGTTGCCTGAGGACATAGGATGTACCCAGCACTGTCTGTTGGGATGAACAAGCCAGGCTCAGAGCAAGTTAGGGCTGAGCATATAGTAAGGCTCTGACAGTGGAGGACACAAGCTCCATGGGTGGGCTTGTTGCTGCTTCTCCCTCCTCCTGGGTCTGGGTGCAATGGATCTTCAGAAGTCGTTACTGAGTAACACGCCCCGCCCCGCAGGCCTGCCTCGCTCTGCTGGGAACCATGAGTGAGGCCCGCCGGGACAGCACGAGTAGCCTGCAGCGCAAGAAGCCGCCCTGGCTAAAGCTGGACATTCCTTCTGCAGCACCCCTGACAGCAGAAGAGCCCAACTTCCTGCAGGTAGGCCCTGGCCAGCAGGGGCTGTGGGTGCCCCCTGCCCACTACCCTCACTGTGACCATGTTGCCCAGCCCCTGAGGCGACAGGTTTTCCTGAGGAGTGTGAGTATGCCAGCTGAGACAGCCCACATCTCTTCGCCCCACTACGAGCTCCGGCGGCCGGTGCTGCAGCGCCAGACGTCCATCACACAGACCATCCGCAGGTACTGACAGTGTCCAGCTGCTTCACGGGGTGGGAGCTGGGGCTGGCGGGGCAGAGGCAGGCACACTGAGGATGGGAATGAGGCAAGGGGCCCTCCTGTCTCAGCTTCCCCTCCTTCTCGGTCCCCACATCCCCTTGCCCTCCTGTTGTGGAGACTGACTGCTCTCACCCCCTCCCCTGCTCCCCTCCCTTCTCTTTGGCACTCACTCTCTCCTCCTGTCTCCACCACCGGATGCTCTGGCCTCTTAGCAGCCGACAAGTACGCTTCGGGCGCGTCCACACTCTACCCCTCCTGGGTCCCTGGGCTGCCCGCAGGGCCCTCCCACAGCACCAGTCTCTCTCTTGGTCCCTGCTCAGGTATCTCATACAGGTCATGAGTGTGCTGTTGTGGCATGTGCTTGGCATGTGGCCCCTTGGGAGCTGCCAGCCTGGTTATTCCCTGGGGTTCCTAATGGCAGGTGCTGGCAGTGTTTCTGTTTGCATGTCCAAGTGCTGCGGACAGCCTGCCTGGGCCCGCAAGCACCTGCTTTCCGAGTTCTGTGGTGTCCTGGGGCCGAGCTCCCTCTCTGGACTCAGTGTCTCCCCTCAACTGCCCCTCAGGGACGGTGGGGTGAGGGCCTCTAGGAAGCACTCAACTAGGCAGGCCCTGCCAGTTGCTGTCTAGTGGGAACTTGGAGTTGGCTAACAGTTCATGGGGTGGCTGGAACCCACTCATCCTCTCATTAGACCTTGCCCACCCAGACTCTGGTCCCTGGAGTGACCGCAGGCCTGGGGCAGGGCATGCTGCCCCCAGGGAGGGCCGCCGAAGTCCCTGCCTGGGAGGGGTGCTCTGGATGCTCCTTGCTGAGTTTCTGCCATGCCAGGGGGGCTGCTGACTGGTTTGGAGTGAGCAAGGAGAGTGATAGCACCCAGAAATGGCAGCGCAAGAGCATCCGTCACTGCAGCCAGCGCTATGGGAAGCTGAAGCCCCAGGTCCTCCGGGAGCTGGACCTGCCCAGCCAGGACAATGTGTCGCTGACCAGCACCGAGACACCACCCCCACTCTACGTGGGGCCATGCCAGCTGGGAATGCAGAAGGTATGCCTGCCTGTCGCTGCCTCCTGCAGGCCCCTCCTTCTGCTCCCAGGGGCTAGGGCTGCAGACACAGCCAGCCTGAGCAGAAGCTCTTCGGGCTGAGCACGGTGGCTCACGCCTGTAATCCCAGCAATTTGGGAGGCTGAGGTGGGCAGATCACCTGAGGTCGGGAGTTTGAGACCAGCCTGACCAACATGGAGAAACCCCATGTCTACTAAAAATACAAAATTAGCCGTGCGTGGTGGTGCATGCCTGTAATCCCAGCTACTTGGGAGGCTGAGGTCGGAGAATCGCTTGAACCCGGGAGGCGGAGGTTGCGGTGAGCCGAGATCGCGCCGTTGCACTCCCACCTGGGCAATAACAACAAAACTCTGCCTCAAAAATCAAACAAAAAGAAGAGGCTCTTTGGGAGCTTACAGTCTGGAAGGGCAGTTAAGACAGCCTGCCCATGAAGGCACCTGAAACAGTACCTGGGAAGGGGTACCTTGGGATGGGGACATGGTCTTGGGATTGCACCAGGGGCCATTGTCTGGATGGGAGAGCATTCCAGGTAGGACCTCTAGGCGCTGTGGGGTGGGAGTGGTGCCCCTACAGTTGGCCAGGAGCCCATGAGGTGTCAGGAGTAGCAGTCACGCTCTCTACTGCAAGGCCTCTGTGCACCTGGGTGAGCTAGGAGCCTGCATGGTGCTGACCCAGTCCTGACTCCATCATCTCCCCCTCCTCCAGATCATAGATCCCCTGGCGCGTGGCCGGGCCTTCCGGGTGGCAGATGACACTGCGGAAGGCCTGAGTGCCCCGCACACTCCTGTCACGCCAGGTGCTGCCTCCCTCTGCTCCTTCTCCAGCTCCCGCTCAGGGTTCCACCGGCTCCCGCGGCGGCGCAAGCGAGAGTCGGTGGCTAAGATGAGCTTCCGGGCAGCTGCGGCGCTGATGAAAGTGGGTGCAGGGGCCAAGGGTGGGGGTGGGGGGCCGAGCCCGCAGCCGGGTCTCACGCTCGCTGCCCTGTGCCCAGGGCCGCTCTGTGAGGGATGGCACCTTGCGTCGGGCACAGCGTCGAAGCTTCACTCCCGCCAGCTTTCTGGAGGAGGACACGACCGATTTCCCTGATGAGCTGGACACGTCCTTCTTTGCCCGGGTAAGGAGTGCCCAGGGCATCACCCCGATTCCCTTCATCCCGGCGTCCACCCTGACCTCATGTGTTTGCTCAGGAAGGTATCCTCCATGAAGAGCTGTCCACCTACCCCGATGAAGTTTTCGAGTCCCCATCGGAGGCGGCACTCAAGGACTGGGAGAAGGTGCCGGAGCAGGCGGACCTCACCGGTGGGGCCCTGGACCGCAGTGAGCTTGAGCGCAGCCACCTGATGCTGTGAGTGAGGCAGGCAGGGAAGGGGGCCAGAGGGAGACCCCGGGCCGTCAGGAGCAGCTAGGCGTCTTGGCGTTCACCTCTGGGGGTGATGGAAGGGGTAGCCTCAGGGACTGGGAACCCACTGGCCACCAGGGGTGGAAGACCCAGGGCTGGGCATGGCCTCAGGGTCATGGCTTGTCTGTGGGATGGGACAGCAATCTTAGAGCCCAGGGGCAGGACAGAATCCAACGGGGAGGTGGAGGTGACAGAGGCGATACTTGCTGAGTGGCAGAACTCTGTGGGTCCCAGTTCCCACTCCCTGCCATCCCCGGAGGCGCCCAGTATTGCTCTTTTACTGGCAGAGGAGGAGGCAAATTCCGGGGGACTTGCCCAGCGTCTCGCCAGGATAGAGTCAGGGTGCCCTGGTGCCCCGGGGAGGGACGGCAGCATGTGGGGGCTGGGGCGGGAGGTGAACACCGGCTGCCCCCAGGCCCCTGGAGCGAGGTTGGCGGAAGCAGAAGGAGGGCGCCGCAGCCCCGCAGCCCAAGGTGCGGCTCCGACAGGAGGTGGTGAGCAGCGCGGGGCCGCGGCGGGGCCAGCGCATCGCGGTGCCGGTGCGCAAGCTCTTCGCCCGGGAGAAGCGGCCGTATGGGCTGGGCATGGTGGGACGGCTCACCAACCGCACCTACCGCAAGCGCATCGACAGCTTCGTGAAGCGCCAGATTGAGGACATGGACGACCACAGGTGGGCGAGGCAGGCAAGGCCCGGGGTGGGATGGAGGCCCCAGGGCGGGGATGAGGCCCCGCTGACGCCCCGCCCCGCAGGCCCTTCTTCACCTACTGGCTCACCTTCGTGCACTCGCTCATCACCATTCTGGCCGTGTGCATCTACGGCATCGCCCCCGTGGGCTTCTCGCAGCATGAAACGGTGGACTCGGTGAGCCCCTGTGCCTTCGCCGGGCCCGGACGAGTGGGGTCTGGGCTCTGGGTTGAGAGGGCCCACGGCGGGCCGGTCTGATGCCGCTCCCCAACCTCCTAGGTGCTGCGGAACCGCGGGGTCTACGAGAACGTCAAGTACGTGCAGCAGGAGAACTTCTGGATCGGCCCGAGCTCGGTGAGGGCGGGGCTGGGGCGGGGCCGGCGGGGGCGGGACCTGGAGGTGCCAGCGGCGAGCGGGAGGCAGGGACCGCAGCTGTCGGTCTCGCTCGCCCGCAGGAGGCCCTCATCCACCTGGGCGCCAAGTTTTCGCCCTGCATGCGCCAGGACCCGCAGGTGCACAGCTTCATTCGGGCAGCGCGCGAGCGCGAGAAGCACTCGGCCTGCTGCGTGCGCAATGACAGGTCGGGCTGCGTGCAGACCTCGGAGGAGGAGTGCTCGGTGCGTTTCCCCAGCAGGACTCCCCCCCATCTGCCTGCCCCAAGTTCGCTTTGGACTTCAGATAGACTCAGTAGAGCGATCCTTCGCCCTCGTTCCTGGCACATCCCGCCTCCCTATGTGCAATGCCGTTCCTGCCACATCCATTCCTCCTTGTCCCCACCCCACCCTCCCCCATCTCCAGCTCCTCGCCCCGTAGACCGCCATCTGATTTGGTCGTTTGACTTGGGTGTACTCTACCAGCATGTGTCTTAAAGGTTACCTAAGTGGTATTGCTCTCTTTTCCACTGAGCAGTTTTAAAAAGGCGATTCACCCAAACTTTCATCACATCATCTTATATGGAGGTGCCATAGTCCATGCCGGTTCCCTGATTTAGGACACAGAGGTTGACGCTGATTTTCAGCTAACAGGGATTATGCTGTTGAACGCCTGGCTCTTTTCTGTTGTTATTTTTTGAGACACAGCTTCGCTCTTGTCGCCCAGGCAGGAGTGCAGCGGTGCAATCTTGGCTCCCTGCGCCATCTGCCTCCCTGCGCCATTTGCCTCCCGGGTTCAATCAATTCTCCTGCCTCAGCCTCCCGAGTAGCTGGGATTACAGGTGCGCACCAACACGCCTGGCCAATTTATGTGTTTTTAGTAGAAACGGGCTTTCTCCATATTTGTCAGGCTGGTCTCGACCTCCTGACCTCAGGTGATCTGCCCGCCTTGGCCTCCCAAAGTGCTGGGATTACAGGCGTGAACCACCGAGCCTGGCCACGGTTGAACTCTGTGTAAGTCTCTTCCAACATGCCTGTGCATTTCAAGAGTATCAATTCATAGGGGGCGACTCGTAGAACTGAGGGATGAGCTCAGTGGTTTTGCCTTTGACTCCTGACTCACTGAGCGCCCCTCGTTGCCCTGACCCAGCTGGGCCTGACCCTGTGTCCCCCTCCCACAGTCCACACTGGCAGTTTGGGTGAAGTGGCCCATCCATCCCAGTGCCCCAGAGCTTGCCGGCCACAAGAGACAGTTTGGTTCTGTCTGCCACCAGGATCCCAGGTTAGTCCTGCCGCAGTGCTCTACCCGCCTTCTTTCACACCTTCCAGGGGGCTGTGGTGCAGAGGGTGTAGGGGCTCCCCTAGTTGTTGGCAACTTGGCTGGAAGGGTGCCAACGCTAGGGGCTCCCAGCAGGGTCTGACCACCTACTTGGCTCATGCAGGGTGTGTGATGAGCCCTCCTCTGAAGACCCCCATGAGTGGCCAGAAGACATCACCAGGTGGCCGGTGAGCTACAGTGGGGGGTTGTTAGGGAGTCATCCTTGTCATGCAGGGAGAGCACCTACCACACCCACCCATTGGTGATGCCAGAGATTCCCATCATGGGACCACCTCACGTTTTCAGATGCTGTGCACCTGGCCTTTGCACAGCCTGTCCATCAACCAACACCTGCTCCTCTGAGCACGTAGATCAAGAGAACTAGATGGAGACTTGAAAGGTCAAGTGACATTATTCCAGTTTGATAGAGACTCAGAGGGTGGTGGCCTGCTGGAAGTCAAGGAAACCACACTGTTTTCTACCTTATGAGCCCGCCCACCTTTGCCTCTACCCCCAAACACGGTGTGGGGCCAAAAATTGGGCGAGGCCCTGACCCAGCTCATCCCCATTTGTGACCCAGATCTGCACCAAAAACAGTGCCGGGAACCACACCAACCATCCGCATATGGACTGTGTCATCACAGGGCGGCCCTGCTGCATCGGCACCAAGGGCAGGTAGGCGTGCGTACGTGCACGGGAGTGCAGCTGGTCACTGGGCTCAGAGCATTGTCCTAGGGCTGTGCCTTCTCCCTAACCAAATTCTGAAATAGCTGGGTGCAGTGGCTCACGCTTGTAATCCCAGCACTTTGGGAGGCCAAGGTGGGTGCATCATGAGGTTAGGAGTTCAAGACCAGCCTGACCAGTGTGATGAAACTGTCTCTACTAAAAATACAAACATCAGCTGGGAGTGGTGGTGCATGCCTGTAGTCATGGCTACTCAAGAGGCTGAGGCAGGAGAATCGCTTGAACCTGGGAGGTATGGAGGTTGCAGTGAGCCGAGACCGTGCCACTGCACTCCAGCCTGGGTGACAGAGCGAGACTCCCTCTCAAAAAAAAAAAAAAATTCCTGAAATAACCCAGTATGCTAAGGGGTGTGGGGTCAGAAGGGGTCTGGACTTCTTCAGGGCTAACAAACGTGTGTAGGTGCGGCTGAAACTTGCCCTGGATGCCAGCAGTGCCCTCTACAAGGCAGCAGCCTCCCAACCCTGGCCCGCCCTTCTAGGTGTGAGATCACCTCCCGGGAGTACTGTGACTTCATGAGGGGCTACTTCCATGAGGAGGCCACGCTCTGCTCTCAGGTAGGCTCCGGGGTGTCTGTCTTTCCCCTCCCCCAGCTGCTGTGAGTGCTGACATGCTGCTCTGCACAGGTGCACTGCATGGATGATGTGTGTGGGCTCCTGCCTTTCCTCAACCCTGAGGTGCCTGACCAGTTCTACCGCCTGTGGCTGTCCCTCTTCCTGCACGCCGGGCAAGTGACACTGGGCTGCGTGGGTGGTCTCAGGGTCCCCAGGATTGGCTGGCTGGGGGTGGCAGAGAGGTTACTTTCCTGCTGAATGTCTCCCCACCACCCCTGCCACTGACCACAGGATCCTGCACTGCCTGGTGTCCATCTGCTTCCAGATGACCGTCCTGCGGGACCTGGAGAAGCTGGCAGGCTGGCACCGCATAGCCATCATCTACCTGCTGAGTGGTGTCACTGGCAACCTGGCCAGTGCCATCTTCCTGCCGTACCGAGCAGAGGTAAGGCTGGCCCTCCGGGTGGGGATCCTCCTGTGTGCACCTGCAGCTTGCCATGGACATGTCCACATGGGGTGCGGAGTCTGGGTCTCTGCAGTGCCCGGCAGGGAGCATCTCCATTTGGATCCTCAGTCCCAATATGCTCTAGGCCATGGGAAGTGGGGGCAGAAAGATGAGAACTTGAGTCCTGGGGACCTGCCCAGCCCCACAGCCTTACAGCTGTCCCCACCATCCCCCAGGTGGGTCCGGCTGGCTCCCAGTTTGGCATCCTGGCCTGCCTCTTTGTGGAGCTCTTCCAGAGCTGGCAGATCCTGGCGCGGCCCTGGCGTGCCTTCTTCAAGCTGCTGGCTGTGGTGCTCTTCCTCTTCACCTTCGGGCTGCTGCCCTGGATCGACAACTTTGCCCACATCTCGGGGTTCATCAGCGGCCTCTTCCTCTCCTTCGCCTTCTTGCCCTACATCAGCTTTGGCAAGTTCGACTTGTACCGGAAACGCTGCCAGATCATCGTCTTTCAGGTGGTCTTCCTGGGCCTCCTGGCTGGCCTGGTGGTCCTCTTCTACGTCTATCCTGTCCGCTGTGAGTGGTGTGAGTTCCTCACCTGCATCCCCTTCACCGACAAGTTCTGTGAGAAGTACGAACTGGACGCTCAGCTCCACTGAGCTGGCTGCGGGCTCCAGGGCCCACGTGCTCCTGCAGAGCAGAGCCAGACACCGCAGCCCTGAGCCTCACAGGCGTGCGGGAGTCACCTGCTCCACGAGGGAACGGGCCCGTTTCCTGAACACAGACCTCGTGTGCCTTGTTCACTCTGCTGAACCCTTCGTACTGCCGGGCACTTATTACACATCTTCCTGTGATAACCTTCTAATTTGCCTCTTGACGACCACTTCACGTGGCCAGTAAATGGACCGGGAGCGTTTTAGCTGCCATTAACCTGACCAGGGCTTCCTCTCTGTCTTTGTTTCTGGCCGGGCTGTGGAGGGAAGTCCTGCAAGCCCCCTGCTTCCCACTCCCAAGTCCCCGGGGCAGGGAACTGAGTGTGAGGTAGAGTCACAGGCTCTTTCACCTCCCAGTGAAGCCCTTCAGCCAGGCATGTGCACCTTGCTGCTTTCTCCTTAGAGCGGCTGGCAGCCGACACAGGGACAAGGACCTAGGGGTGTGCTCACACCCTCCCCACATGCTGGGAAGCACCCTGCCCCCACCCTCAGCAGCTCCAATTTCTGCCCCACTATGTCCCTGGAGCCTGCTGAAGTCACTGCTGCGGGCGAACCTAAAGGCCAAGGCTGAGGGCTCACCCATAGCCATGCTGTGCTCACTGCCGCTGTGAGCTCCAGGAGGCACACCCTAAAGCCGCCCTGCATTTCTCCTTGTTATGGAGATCATGGTTACACAGTGGTGTGGTTTGGGGAGTGATGTGGCCACAAGGCTTAGGTGCTGTGGTGACATCTTGGACTGACTCACCTATACCAAGTCTCTCCCATGCTCTCCCCTTAACTGCCCTCTGTGACGGGCCAGCCTGTCTTTCCTACCCAGGGCACTGTGTCTTTTGACCTTTTTTTTTGGAGATGGGGTCTCATTCTGTCACCAGACTGGAATGCAGTGGTATGTTCTCTGCTCACTGCAACCTCCGCCTCCCGGGTTCAAGCAATTCTCCTGCCTCAGCCTCCCGAGTAGCTGGGACTGCAGGTACATGCCACCATGCCTGGCTAATTTGTGTATTTTTTCTTTTTTTTTTTGAGACGGTGTTTCGCTCTTGTTACCCAGGCTGGAGTGCAATGGCGCGATCTCGGCTCACCGCAACCTCTGCCTCCTGGGTTCAGGCAATTCTCCTGCCTCAGCC